CGACGTCATCGCGCCGCGACGGAGGGCAGGGCCAGGCCGGGCGGGGCCCCTGTGACGTCAGCGAGGCCGCCAACACCACGCCTGCTCTTACACTTAATGAGTAGCGGCGCGTGCAGCCGCCCCTACGCCTAATTACACCTGCACCGACACCTGCGCGTGCACCTGCACTTGCACCTACACCGGCACCTATACCTACACCTATATGTACACCTGCACCTACGCCTATATGTACACCTGCACGTGCACCTACACCTGCACGTGCACCTGCACCTATATGTACACCTGCACGTGCACCTGAACCTATATGTACACCTACACCTGCACCTATATGTACACCTACACCTCACCTACACCTACACCTATATGTACACCTACACCTGCACCTATATGTACACCTGCACCTATGCCTATACCTACGTAGACCTGCACCTACACCTACATCTATACCTGCACATGCACCTACACCTGCATGTGCACCTATACCTGCATCTACACCTGCACCTACACCTATATGTACCCCTACACCTGCACCTATGCTTATACCTAGGGCTGCACCTGCACCTACACCTATACCTATACCTACACCTACAGCTACACCTACACCTACACCTATATGCACACCTACACCTATACCTGCACCTACACCTGCACCTACACCTACACCTATATGTACACCTACACCTACAACTACACCTGCACCTGCACCTACACCTATTTGTACACCTGCACCTGCACCTACACCTATATGTACACCTACACCTACACTTACACCTATACCTGCACCTACACCTATATGTACACCTGCACGTACACCTATATGTTCACCTACACATACAGCTGCACCTGCACCTACACCTATATGTACACCTACACTTACACCTACACCTACACCCGCACCTACACCTATAGGTACACCTGCACCTACACCTATATGAACACCTACACCTGCACCTACACCTATATGTACACCTACACCTATATGTACACCTACACCTATATGTACACCTACACCTATATGTACACCTACACCTATATGTACACCTACACCTACACCTACGCCTATATGTACACCTACACCTACACCTGCACCTACACCTATATGTACACCTACACCTATATGTACACCTACACCTATATGTACACCTACACCTATATGTACACCTACACCTATATGTACACCTACACCTACACCTA